TCATTTAAAAGAGGCACATGAGAGAAAGAAAGGTTTTAAACCACAGAGAAATGGAAGTTGCTGAGTACAGATGCAATGAAGATACAAGAAACAAAGAGAACCCGAGGACAGGAAAGTGAGGGGTGTCATTTTCCCAGATTCCCAGCGTCCCCACCATTCCTTTGATACATGCAATGTTGGACCTTCCTAAGCCGTGTCCCTGCTTTGCCCAGAAGCCTGACAGGTCCCAGTGGAAGACAATCAAGACTCTAGCCTGCTCTATGCTTTGGGGCTTCTAAGAGTGAAAGCCCAAGCAGGCTAGAACGCGCTTATCTTTCAAGCCCAATGTCATGGCCAGGGTTTCAGGGCAAGGTGAGAGTCCAGCCTAACTGGAGGGCTCACATTCATCCCACAGAGGGGGAAAAATAAAATACATAGTGTGCCTGACAGGGATCTAGATGTTTGCATACTACGGAGAGGAAGAAAGACAAAGATGCCTGGACTCATGAGCATAAGAGACAGAAAGACAAACTACAAAAGATTCCGGAGAAGTACATCATAGAGGCCAGAGTCAGTAAGTGTGAGATATTCAGTAAGGAGAGGCTTAAAGGGAGCCATTGCTACACGCTGAGCACCAGGATTTGGATCTTAGAACTTAGGCATGATAGCTTTACATGCAGTTTCAGGGAAAGAGGAGATGGTGCAAGCTGGCGAGGGAGACCAGCCATGTGAACACGCTCTGGGTTTGCCTGAGATACCCTGTCTCAAAGGCTAAAGTGGATGAGTGGTGGAGGATAATGCCTTCGCATCAGTCTCAGGCCTCCACAGGCATGTCTACACATGTACACGAGCACCCACGCGTATGTGCTCATTGCATACATACACAAAACATGTACACACATACAACATACACACAAAGAGAAAGAAAGAAAGAGAAAGAGAGAAAGAAAGCGAAGCAAATCAACAAAATTGTCCTTAAACTAGCAGAGGTTTGAAAGCCTGATTTGTGTTGAGCTCACAGCTGCTTCAATTGACTGAAGATAGAGATAAAGCCTCCCACGCTCCCTTTGGGGCAGATGTGGTAAGTTTGATTGTGAAATTCAGTTAGATGCCTTCTGCAAGGCCTGACTCCTCCTCCACTTCTGGAAACTAGTAACTCAGAGCTGACTGCCTAGTTTTACCTCCCCAGAAGCGGGACCTAGTTGAGCCTGTGGGCCCAGAGATTGGCTCTGCATGCTGATGCAACATTCGGCAGCTGACCTCTCAAATTACACGCCTGCATCTGTGCATGGTGGCAGTGTGAAAGCTCAGTGCTGGGGCCCAGACCAAGACCCAAACATGCCAGTATCACCAATGGCTTCACCCTTCCCAGCAGCATTGTGCGGGCTAGTTTTATGTCCACTTGACACAAGCTGGAGTCCTCTGAGAGGACAGAGCCTCCACTGGTGAAATGCTTCCTTTAGACTGGACTGAAGACAACCCTTCATTTTCTTAATTAGAGCTTGATGTGAGAGGGCCCAGCCCATTCATTATGGGTGCTGCAACTCCTAGGCTGGTGGTCCTGGGTACTATAAGAAAGCAGGCTGAGCAAGCCATGACGAGAAGGCCAGCGCAGTGGCACTCCTTGGAACTTATGGCCTCTGCCTCCAGGTTCCCGCCCTGTTTGAGTTCCTGTCCTGACTTCCTTCAGTGTGGACTACGATGTGAAAGTGTAAGCCAGATAAGGCCTTTCCTTTCCACGTAGCTTTTCTCTCATCAAAGCTACAGCACCCCTAACTGGCCAAAAACTGGAACCAGGAGTGAGGTGTCCCTGTGGCATGCCTGACCATGTAGTTTCGAAGAAGATTGTAGAAAGACTTTGGAACTTTGGGCTATAAAAGCCTCTGAGTGTTCGAAGCTTGGTGAGCTGTTCTGTGGGAGCTTGGGAGGTAAGAGTGCTCACAGAAATGCATAAGACAGAGGACTGGCTTGTGGTGTTTCAGAGGAAAGTTTGAGGCAAACCTCTTTGATCCTTGGGCAGAATGGGGAATCCATGCAGCATTCATTGTACTGCTGGGTGTGTCCCAGACTTAGGGACATATGCCTTTGAGAAGGCATGTGGTAGGTGTTGGGCATGGGGGTGAAGAGAAGAGCTACTGGTCCTAGATTTCTATAGGATATAACAGGGCAGAGCCGCCCAACATACAATATTAAGGTCCTACAGGGACTTCCCAGGACCATGGCACAAGGTCCCCTCCTTGCCACAGCACCCACATTCCCAGGTTTGGTTACACCTACACATCCCAGCAGCCTCTGGCAAACAGGACCCTCCCACCCCCGCTCTTGTCACCAGGCTGGTCTTCCCATGTGCTGTTCCTGCTTCTAGAATCACTGGTTCCCTTTCCCCAGGCACCACTTCCCAGTAGACCTCTGTGACCTCCACCACCAGAGTGTCCTTCGGCTTACACTTCCCAAGTCTACACACATCACCCTGGCAGAGCACTGTACTCTGAAGAATCTCATCGGGTTTGCCCAGGAGGTGGGTGTCTCCAGGGCTTCTCACAGTGCCTGGCACTGAGCAGGTGCTCTGCATGAACTGGGCACTCGACAAGAACAGACACACACAGAGCAGGGGTGGTGCAGGAGGATGGCTGGGTGTTTAACTGTTTAAGCTCAGCTCTGCCCAGGACTTCCACTTCCTGTCTGGGCCACAAGGATAGATTTGTTCTCCTGTGGATCTCCCACAACCCTGACCTTCAAAGAACAGAGCAGATGAAGGACCTTTGCATGGTCACCTGACTCTGAGCTAGTTATGGTGTGATGCTGGCCACACCAGACACACAAATGCAGCAGAGCTTCTCCCAGGCCTGCCTCCAATGCCGGGGACCCAGGAGAATGGTGTGCACTCCTTCCCAGGGGGCCTCAACTCTGAATTCTACCTGTCCTGTGCTGGTGCAACTTCCCACTAGCCCACTAAGTCCCTTCTCCATCCAGGATGCTCTGGGAAGAAAACGGCAGAAAGACACAAAAGCCACAATCAGTCCTAGGAGGCTGGGCCAGCCTGGTAGACTCAAGCCAGAGAAACCCATCTCGGAATCACTTCTTGCCCGTTCCAAGGGAGAGAGCCTTGAAAGTGAGCAGGGAGGTGCGTTTTCCAGGCTGCTCTCTGCAAACATTTAATGGCTGATGGTCCTGGAGATGCCAAACCTCGCAGCCTACAAGACACATCTGTCTGGGGACATGCTCTGGTTGGAGGGCAAGTGTGGCAGCTTGAATAACAGTGCCCCCCCCCCCGTAGGCTCATCTATTTGAATGACTGGTTCCCAGCTGGTGAACTGTTTGGGAAGGATTAGGAGGTGTGGCCTTGTTGAAGGAGGTCGTCACCAGGGGATTCAAAAGCCTATGCCAGTATCAGTCTCATATTCATTCATGGTGTGTGTGTGTGTGTGTGTGTGTGTGTGTGTGTGTGTGTGTGTGTG